TCATATTAATTGGGTAAACAATTTTGTAGAGTAAAATTACCGCACCACATGTCTTTCCAAAATAAGATGTTAATATTGGAACCTAATATTAGGGAGAAAGAGTATTTTGGTTAATTTGGTGATTTGCCAGGCACATAATGGCTTTCAAGATGCCTGTCACAAACCAAGTTTCCAGAACTTTCTAGGATCGTGTAGAGAACGCTGGAACGATAGATAATACTTGAGGAGTCTCCAGAGAGATCGAGAACACACTACGAGTCCTTGGAAGATGCTAGAGAATTATTGAAGTCTCCAGAAAAATATAGAGCGACCAAGAATAATCCAGAAGACGCAAGATGAAGATAGAATGACTTAAAGGACTTTAGAACAACCTAGAACATGCTAGGTCACGAAGGAACGAGTTGGATAATGTTGTAACATCTTAGAAATCTCTAGGACATCGTAGAATAGTATAGTATATTATAGAGTCTTGTAAATGTTATATAGATATCATTGGAAGAGTCTAGAATATTCAGGAAGATACGAGACCTAGAAACTTCCATTTGAGGAGGTGTAAAGTCCCTATAAATAGCAAAGAGGTCTTATTTTTAGAATCCATCGAAAAGTTGCCTTGTAAAGAAGTTGATTCCTATAATAGAAGTTTTCTTTCGTACTTGAAGTGTTCATTGTCGTTTCTTTTGCTTTCCAAATTCATTAGTACATCCAGATCGTCGAGTTAGCTTGACTTAGTCGGAGAAACGCTAAGTGGCACATGGTGATTGAGTCATCCGGTGACATGTCGCTCCAAACATAAGGTATTTTTTTGGAATGTAATCAACCGGTTTCCTCCGTAGATTGTGTGTACTAACAATGCAATTCCTACATAATTTTACAGTTTCAACTTTTAGCCGCCACTACCACCTGGTGAGCAAGGAAAGGTTTTATGCTTTCAATGTGCCAACCCCCGTACCTCCTTTTTTTAGAAACTATTTTAGACCATGCCACCCAATGGATTTTTACTTTTTAATCATCACCACCCAAATAAACTTTCGCCTCAAATTTTCTAGTTCATCGATGATACCATTAGGCGCTTTAAATAATGAAAAGTAAAATTTTGGCAAACCGTTGAGATCAGATTTGATTAGTGTGAGTCTATTACCAAATAACAACGCCTTTGCTTTCTAAACTGATATCTTGATTAAAAATTTTCAACTATGGGTTGCCAATGTTTCTTTAGTGCCATATTTGCTCCAATCGGAACCCCAAGATAAGTAAAAGGAAAGGTTCCTTCCGTACAACCCAACACCTGTGCTTGATTTTGTAACTCCAAGATGGTGGTTCCAATTCCAAAAAGTCTCGATTTGTGAAAGTTGACTTTAGAACCGGAGCAAATTTGAAAACATTTGGGAATGTACACCAAGTTCCTAATGGATTTTTTATCCCATTTGCCAAAAAGATGGCGTCATCTGCATAAAATAAGTGTGATAAACTGAGACCATGTTTAGGTAACTTAATATCACAAAATAATGATTTATAAACAACATCTTTGAGTGCAACATTCAGTCCTTCCATCGCAACTATGAAGAGGAATGAAGATAAGGGATCGCCTTGAATTACACCTTTTGTTATGCTAAATTTGTATGTAGGAGATCCATTCACTAGAACAGAGGCACGTGAGGAAGATAGACAACCATGTATCCACTTACGCCATTTCAAGCTAAAACCCATTTGTTCCATCACCGAATCTAGATACTTCCAATTGATTGAATCGAACGCCTTCTCAAAGTCCACTTTAAATAAGAACATATTTTTCTTTGATTTCTTAGCCCATGCATATGTTTCATTCATGATTAATGGGCCATCTAAAATATTCCTCCCATTAATATAGGTTGTCTGGACTTCATCGACCACTGTATAATCACCGCCTTGAGTCTCAATGCAAGTATTTTGGCCACTATCTTGTAAGTACAACCAATAAGCTTGATTGGTCTATAATCACAAAGTTTCAATAGATCTTTTATTTTTGGGATCAAAGTTATAAAGGAGACGTTACAACCATGAGAAAAGCGGTCATATTCTTCAAAATGTGAAACAAATTGCATAATATCAAGTTTAATAATCTCCCAATTGCTCTTAAGAACTTTGAATGTGTACCCATCTGGTCCAGGCGCCTTATCACATCTGTAAAACCATACTAGGTTTTTCACTTCTTCGATTGTTATGTTTGACTCTAAACCGATACTCTGTTCATTCAATAAGGATTTGAATCGGTTGCTTATAAGCTTGGGTCTGTCTGGCCATCGTTCATGGGATTTATCAACAAAGAAGTCAAGCACGTCTTTCTTTATTGCAATCGGGTCAACACACCAATCACCACCAATTTCGAGACCTTGTATCCTATTTTTCCTGGTTTTGTTTTTGATAGTACCATGAAAGAATTTCGTGTTTTCGTCTCCATCCTTTAACCATCAAATTTTGGCTTTCTGTTGAAGATCAATTTTTTCATTCCTTTCTAATTAACGTATATTAAGTTTGGCTTCCCTCCTAATTAATAATTCAGCCTCTAATAACAGTCTCGATCCATCCAACTTTTCTAGTTCTTCAACCTTAGGTTTTGTTTATCCCAATAATCTCGCTTCAGCATGTGAATTAGTAAGTCTCCATTAACGAATAACATTTTTAACAAAACACAACTTAGCTTTGAGAAACATATTTAGTGTTCCATATCCAATAAAAGTATTCCATGCATTTGAGAAGGTCTCATTGAAACCGTCTCTAAGTAACCATGAATTGACGAAGCGAAATGGTGTGAGCCAAAATCTTGATTGGAATGTTTAAGTACCAAAGGGGTGTGGTCAAAATATTCACGAGGAAGTGCAATGACTGACTATAGCGGTTGATGAAACATGAAGTTGGAACAAACTAGAAAACGAGATCCAACTTATTGATGAAAAAACAATACTTCTTTTTAATAAGTAGCTACAAAGAAAAATCAATATATGTTTCTTATCGATATGAATATGAATACACAAAGTTTTTTAAGTTTCGATCCAAATTCAGATAAGCCCAAATTAACTAACAGTATATCCGTAAACATGAACATGAGTGTAAGTGACATGATTTAATTCTAAGCCCGATTTAATTCTAAGCCCATTAATCGGAGGAAGGCCTATAATTTATTTGATTTAGGAGCGTATAATTTATAATTATAATTGAAGAAATTTCTTTAAAAAGTGTTCTTTTTCAATTTAAGATAAATTCATATATATATATATATATATATATATATATATATATATATATATATATATATATATATATATAGGTTCAAATGTGGATTGACATCTATTGTGCGGACGTGTGGACAGTGTAATTCTGTGAGAATGACAAAGTGTTTGATAATATGCATACGTTCAATCTTACATAACTATTGTCATTATCACACATTCTCACTAATTAAATCGTCTATAAGGTTATTATAGACTTATTATTATTATTATTATTCTTATTCTGTTAGAATGTTGTCAGAATGTTTATTGAGTCATATTTTGTAAGAATGAAAATGAATGAAAAACGATGTTTGAGAAAAAAAATGAATAATAATTAATGAGAATGCATGAAAATGACAAAAGTTATGTGAGGTTGAACATATTCACATTACCAAACAACCTATTCTCTTAGTAATTCTCATAGAATAGCATTGTCCACACGTCCACACAATCGTTGTTCATCCACATTATAACCTAGTCCTATATATTAGCAAATGTTCATCCACTCAAATATTAGTTATCATCATACAACGACTGAGATAGCAAATGAGCAACAAGTCGTACTGCTAAGTCTTTACCTTTTTGAATGGTGAAATTATTTTTTTTAAGACTACATCTATATATATATATATATATATATATATATATATATATATATATATATATATATATATATATATATATATATATATATATATATATATATATAGAGGAAGGATCATTTGAGAACTCAAAGTTTCCCGAGAACCCGAGAACTAAATAATAACCGTTAGATTAAAATAATAGAGGGTTAGGATGCTTCTGGCACTTTCGTAAATATCTGAAAATACAATGGGGCGGGGGTATCTTATTAAAATAAATCAGGGACATTTTAGGGACATTTAATCACGTCAACTCCTATCTCTCTCTCTCTCTCTCTCTCTCTCGATCCTCTCTCTCTACCCTTCATCACACCTCCGATCTCAAATCCTGAAATCGTCGTTGAAGTGTGACAGGATGTGAGTATAGTTCATCGGAACATCTACAATGAAGCATTAGGTCGGTCGTTTTCTTCTGAATCTGATCTTGACTTGTCGATTTGGAGAAGATAGTCCTATCGAATGTCCAGTTGGAGTGGAATCGATCATCTACAATGAAGCATTAGGTCGTTAGAGAAATCTCGAGTTCATTGAATTCCTTGAAATCTATCCATTTCCGGCGAATGATTGTTCGTGATTCCGATATCGATTTATTAACCCGAACCTGTGGTCAATAACTTAGGGTTTTGAAGCTTGATTTGTGCTCAGGGTTTTCAACAGACGGATTACTCCAAATCGGTAAACGGTGTAACAATTGAGAATTCTGTATCTACAAGAGAGCTTAATCGTCGAAAAGGACGGCGAATGGTTACATGAGCTAGCTTTGCGTAACACAGCCATGGAATCGTTAAACTTCTACATGACAGGTCTGGTTAAGTTCGATTTCAAAGATCTAGAACTCTTCGCAAAAAACTGCAGCGAATCGTTACTATCAGTGAAAATGCGAATGCGACCTCACAGACCTTTCTGATTTCTTCAAACACACAGTGAAATTACAAGAATTCGGCGATGGCCCTTTCAGCGATCAACCTGAAAACTACGTCGGACTGAAATTCCCTCCTCTTTTAACTTCCATGGCGTTGAATTACATGAGCCAACCCAAAATCCCAGCAATCATCCCATTCGCTTCCCGATTAACAAAACTCGATCTTCTTTACGCTCTATCGACAATTGTATGTCATTCTTTCTCTTAATCTTCTTGTTTAGGACTGTGAAACGATTAGGGATACCTGATGAGAGGATCATTCTTATGTTAGCAGATGACATGGCTTGCAATTCCCGAAACAAATACCCTGCACAAGTTTTCAACAATGAAAACCATAGGCTTAACTTGTATGGAGATAATGTTGAGGTCAATTTTTGTGTCCAATTAATTTCTACGGCCCTTTACTTATTTACATAACTGTTTTTAGAGAAGATGTGCTGATTTTAGTACACTGTTATGTCAGGTAGACTATCGAGGCTATGAAGTGACAGTTGAGAACTTTTTGAGAGTTTTAACAGGTCGCCATGAAAATGTTGTTCCAAGATCCAAACGTCTTTTGAGTGATGAAAGAAGCCATATACTGCTATACATGACATGACATAGAGGAGATGATTTTTTGAAATTTCAAGACTCTGATGAACTTCAGAGTCATGATTTGGCTGATGCAGTCAAACAGATGAAAGAAAAAGCGTAGGTCAGAACCCATTTTTAATGCTATCTTATCTGTCATTGGTTGTGGAATTATGACTTACTTGTTCTCTTATGTGTTCATGTTTTTAGGTTCAAGGAACTGTTGATTATGGTAGATACATGTCAAGCTGCTACCCTCTTTTCCCAGGTCTGGATCCTTTTCTTACCTAAAGCATTGAAATAATGAAAACATAAATTTATTGAGAATTCTAAAACAGTGTGGATATTTTTCTTTATTTTCAGCTCCATTCACCTGATGTTTTGGCTATTGGGAGTAGCATGAAAGGGGAAAACTTATATTCACATCACTTAGATTCTGATGTGAGTATTATCTGGATTCTATCAACTTCAAAAATTTGTAATTTGATATACATGAATACTCCACGATTTCTTTTGCTTCTCTTGCTAATTCTGTAGAGATTATTGTGATACATATAGGTTGGTGTCTCTGTTGTGGATCGATTCACATTTTATACGTTAGCTTTCTTTGAGAGGCTCAACATGTATGACAATGCATCATTAATCAGGTATAAAAAATGTTGCATTTTGAAAAACCTGTTAAAGTTTTCTCGCCCTATTTGACTTCATTTTTCTTTGTTGTTTTGCAGTCCGTTTGGCTCATTTAATCCAAATTTACTGCTGTCAACTGCATATTATCGAAAAGATTTATACCAACAAGAATTGGAGAAGGTATGTCACTTGTAGATATATGCCATTTTTCATCACATTTCATCCTTCCTAAAAAGGGAATTTCTGTTTTTTTAAGGTCTAGGCATTCATACCACTGTTTCTTTCTAGACTAAATTACAAAAGTAGTCCATGTGGTATATTGGTTTCTATGGATATGTTGTATTACTTGCATCTGTAGTTTGATACATGTCATTTATAATAGTGTGATTTGTTTTTTTTCTTGAACAACATGTTAGCGGCTTATTATTCTTGAAGCTGATTGTATGGAACTACAGATTATGGTGCTCTCCTTTATCACTGTGGATTTTACAAGGAATCCTTGAAATACCTACACTTATATCAGGATTCACAGGTATACCCTACACCACCATATCAAATTGATACAAAACCCCTTATATTTTCCCTCTTCATTCCAAAAAAAAAAAAAATCATCTTGTCATTTGTTGACTTTTCCATGAAAGCCACTTGAGATTTTAAATAATAGCTTTTCTAGAAAGTTCATAAATCTCAAACAACTTTCATTGAAAAATCTATGGAAAGTTAACAATCTATTTAAAGCCTTTTATAGAAAGTTACCAAATCTCAAATGGCGCCATATCATGGAAAACTTTTAATTAATCTTTAAGATATTTTCTGTTCCATCATTGATTTCTGATTCGGTGACCAATAAACTAATCCATTAGTATAATATATAAATGAAAATATAATTTTATTGAAGTATTTTGGTTGCAAACTTTACATATGAATTACATGTAATTCACATGTAATTTACATATGATTCACAAGTGAATCACATATGAATTACATGTGATTCACATGTAATTTATATGTGATGTAAATCACAAGTGAATCACATATGAATTACATGTGATTCACATGTAAATAACATGTAATTCACATATGATTCACATGTGACTCACATTTTAATCACATGTAATTCATATATGATTCACTTGTGATTCACATGTAAATATGAATTACATGTGATTCACGTGTAAATCACAAGTGAATCACATATGAATTACATGTGATTCACGTGTAAATCACATATGAATTACATGTGATTCACATGTAAATAACATGTAATTCACATATGAATTACATGTGATTCACATGTAATTCACATATGATTAATTTGTGATTCACATGTAAATTACAAGTGAATTACCTATGAATTACATGTGATTCACAAGTTAATCACATATGAATTATATGTGATTCACATGTAAATCACATGTAATTCACATATTTAATCACATGTAATTCACATGTAAATCACAAGTGAATCATATATCAATTACATGTGATTCACATGTAAATCACAAGTGAATTACATGTGATTCACATGTAAATCACATATGAATTACCTCTATATGCACACATGAATTTTGTGTAAGTGTTCTTCGTTAATTATTTTTTAAAAATTTCTTGTGAATTTCACATTTAAATCTTAAAAGATACAATCACATGTGAATATCACATTATATAATCACATGTGAATCTTACATGATATATACAAGTGCGTGTTCTTGCATTAATCATTTTTTTTATTTTCTTGTAGATTTTGAAGAATTTTTTGAAAATATTGAAGATGTGAAAAGTGATAAATTGAAGAAAATATGGAAATCTTGATATGAAGAAATGATAATACTATGAGTCTTTGTAGTTTTTTTTATATTTTATTTTGTATCGAATAAAATACTTATATTATGTTTATAGATTGATTAATAAAAATGAGATTTTTTATAATTACTTAGTATAAGAAATATGCATATATGCATTTGAAAAAATATGCATATATGCACCTAAAACGTTGATTTTTTTGTTAAAAAAATACAGTTTTGAAAAAAATTGCACTTTTTTATAAAAGTCGTAGTTTTTTTTTTTTGAAAAAAATGCAGTTTTCTAAAGAAAAAAAATGCAGTTTTTTTGAAAAAAAAAATACAGTTTTTTTGAAAAAAAAAATACAGTTTTTTTCTAGAAAAAAATACAGTTTTATTAAAAAAAATACAGTTTTTTTTAAAAAAATACAGTTTTTTTTTTAAAAAAAGATGCAGTTTTTTAAAAAATAATTTTTTTCATTTTTTTTGAAAAATTCATGTTTTTTGAAAAAAATTAAAAAATATCCATTTTTTAAAAAAATCGAAAATTATTTTTAAAAAAAAAAAATAAATCCGAAATTTTGAGGTATTTTGTTAATTTTTAGACATTTATATTAATATATTAAATAACACAAAAAAATTAAACATTAAATGAGATTGGTAAGATGACGATTTTATCCTTAACGAATTACTTTTGATCAAACGCTCCACTTTTAGTTTTCGGGTTCTCGGGAAACTTTGAGTTCTCAACCGATCTCAATCCTATATATATATATATATATATATATATATATATATATATATATATATATATATAGGATTTACGTTCTATTTTATTTTAAAACGGTGTTAAACAAAAAGAAAAGAACTTTATAACTTGTATTTTCGTTTCGTTATTTATGATTATGTGTTAACTTTCCTACATGGTTATTCTTGGATCTTGACTTTTACATTATTTTTAAATTGATTTTTTTTTGGTATTAAAAGACCAGCTAAAAAAACTAGAAGATATATATTATAAAATGGAAATAGTAATAGGTTTTGCAACCATACAAACAATTAACAACTACATCTCGACTTTTTTGTATAATATTTTTTTGGGTTTTGATTTGAAAGTTGAAATAAAACACAATTTACAACAAATCAAATAACATAACATAAAATTTTGGTAGTTGTATCGTTGAATTTGTGGATCCAAAATTTTAAATTATTTTCCTTTTCTTTTCGTCATATGTTTCTTATCCTAATCATGAAGTTATGTATGCATGTCTCACCTATTCCTCTCCAAATACAAGTGTTGTCAAATCTTCTAAAGGTAATTGATATAAAAATGGAAATGGAGTACGATTAATCCGGGAACTTTTAGGTCTAGACTCACATAAATCATGATTTTGGGAACCCTAATTTTTAAGTCTAGACTTACATAAATCATTATTTTTGGAACCCTCATGCTCTATATCTAGATGTTTATAATGATTGCTACTATTTTTCTTTGGAAATATGATTTATTAAGGTAATTAATTTTTCGGTGTGTTTACTTTTAAATAACTATTTTTTCTATACATATTTAGGTAACAAATTTTTTGGAAGTGTTACATATGACCATTATGACCTGTTGTACAACAGGTTACATCCGGTCATAGTGGTCATATGTGAACACTTTCAACAAGTTCGTTACCTAGATGTGTACAAAAAAATAGTTACCCAAATATGAACAAAACGAAAAGTATGAGTAAATTACATGAATTGTCCCTGTGGTTTAGGGAAATTTGTGTGTTTGGTCCCTAACTTACTTTTTTTTTAACTCAGATGGTCTCTACTTGTTTATTTTTGTTTCACGCTTCGTCCCTGTCTTATCTAAAAAGACTATTGTGCCCTTATTAAATATATTTTTTAATTAATTATCTTATTTATGTATTTATTTTTTATATAAAAGTTAATAGACTCCACATATTTGTATTTCCTCACCTTAAACCTGAAACAACATTTGAGAAATTTAATCTGGGTCCTACCGATCACCATCCCATCTCTCATCCTCCTCAACTTCTATTTCATTTCCATCTTTGGTGACATCGACGTCTTCACCATCCCTTATTTTTTCGATCCTTCAACTCCGGTGAACCTACACCACAAAAGATGGAAAGGAAATAGAAGTTGTGATGCATTGGGTTGTGGTGGTGAAAAATTCGATGAAGAGACAGTGGGTTGTGGTGTTGGTTCGTCGGAGTTGAAGGACCGAAAAAAGAAGTGATGGTGAAGACATCGATGTCACTAAATATGGAAAGGAAATAGAAGCTTGGGAGGATGAGAGATGGATGGTGACCGGTGGGACCCATATTAAATTTCTCAAATGTGGTTTCAGGTTTAGGGTGAGGAGATACAAATATGTGGGGTCTATTAATTTTTTTAAATATATAAAAAATAAATACATATATAAGAAATTAATTAAAAAATAAATTAATAAGGGCACAATCGTCTTTTTAGGTAAGACATGACCAAACGCGCAACAAAAATAAACAGTAGGGACCATCCGAGTTAAAAAAAAATAAGTTAGGGACCAAACACACAAATTCCCCCAAACCACAGGGACCATTCGTGTAATTTACTCTTACTTTTCGTTTTGTTCATATTTGGGTAACTATTTTTTTGTACACATCTAGGTAACGAACTTGTTGAAAGTGTTCACATATGACCATTATAACCGGCTGTAACCTGTTGTATAGCAGGTCATAATGGTGATATGCGAACACTTCCAAAAAGTTCGTTGCCTAGATGTATACAAAAAAATAGTTACCCAGATGTGAACAAACGGAAAAGTTAATTACCTTAATAAGTCATATTACTTTTTTCTTTCTATTTGATCAGCTTTGCCCATGGATCAAAAGTTGAGTAATGATATGTACGAGTTGCAAAAGAAAGTTGATGATGGTTAAGCACATACTATATGGTGCAAGGAACCTAAGGATAACACTGACTCTGTCAGAAATCATTAACATAAAATTCATCAATCTTTATTTATTAGGATTTTTTTTTCGATTTCATTATTTTCCCATCAATATAAACTCAACGATGTGCAAGAAACCTAAAGATATCTATTAGGGTTTTAGTGTCCTTATTATTATTATAATTTTTTGTTGAATGACAAAGATTTTATTAAAAATTTAGCAAGAAGCTAGCAAAAAATTACATCAAAATTATGGCAGAGATAGGATTATGGAGCCAAGAATTCCAAATAATCTTGGCTTTCCTACATCTATTACTAATCCAAAGAAATGCCCTATAAAAACATCATCAACAAACATAGATTTAGAAGGGTTATCCGCTCCAAAAATAGTAGAATTCCAAAAATTCCAAATGCACCAAAAAATAGTCATAACTATTGCATCAAACGCTTGACGTTGGCCTCTTCTCATA